TGTGGGAGGTCATACGTCTCTCAACAGCTGCCCACACAAACCTCGCTTTTTTAAATACACCATACAGCATAGGGCTCATCACGAGTACATATACACATCCTCTTCAGTACAGGGTGAGCAGGAATGGAGGGAATGTCAGGGGTGTAGCACCTCTGGACTTCCGCTAACTCCTGTCTTTTTAAACACAACACCTATCTTACGGCACAACTCTGTCAATCACTAATGTAGGGCAAGCAGGTGCCGGGCAGCTGTGGGAGGTCAAACATCTTTCGACAGCTGCCCACTCAAACCTTGTTTTTTTAATGCAACACACAGCATAGGGCTCATTACAAATACGTCAATAGATCCTCTCCATCCTTTTGTGTGTGTGCTGTGGGTGTGCCTGTGTGTGTCCGTGCATGCCTGCCTGTATGTGCATGTGGGTGTGCGTTGTGTGGTTTGATGGACTCGTCGCTGTTCCCGTCGCCGCTGTTGTCACCATTGCATCACTGTTGTTTTAGCAAAATTATTAATAATAATCGGGAAAAAAAGAAAGAAACTTGTTAAAATTTAAAGTTGATTACATCTGGTCTGGGCTATTGTTATCTTTTGGCATCGGTGTGGCCATCTAATTTGTAATGTTTTTTTTTTTTAAAGAATGGGGTAGGAGCTTATAAGATTTTTTTTTCTTCATCCTACTCCTGTTCTTCTTTTCATGGAATGTATTATTGTTGTGTTTGTTGATTTGTTCCAATTGTATAGTATGTTGCATTACCATGAAAAAAGAATAAATAAAATGAAATGAAATAACCGTTACGGACCCTACCCGTATGTGGCGTTGTCTGTGATGTAAATGCACTGTGTGTCGGTATATGTGTTATGAACGTCAAAATGTGTGTGTGTGATGTGTTCTCTGCCTTGTAACATGTCGGTCCAGAGAGACGCCCAAAGATGACGTCATGGACGCGCCTCCTTTGGAATACAATAAAACCACGCAACCACCCAGAGATCGATCTCTTGGAATTCCTGAAATCACTGTAACGACCGGGTACGCGTCTTCTAGGCGACCCTCCGGCCTGTAACCACTTTGGGCCCATATACCTCCACAAGGACAGCCCGCCACCCTCGCTGTCGGAGACCACAGCTATCTTCACCAGCCACTTTCGAGCTCTAGACGTCTCCTCACGCACCGCTATTCTAGACGGCGTATGTGTGTGAGGAATTAAAGTCTGGATTCGATCTACTGGCTTTCGTCTCCTTTCTGTTCGAACAAAGGAACACATGGACTGCCCGACTTCATCCATACTCCACTCATCACTATTCCTCATCATCTTCACCCTTTTTCCACCCCTCATCCCTCCATACGGACTGCTCAAAGTAAGCCTGTTCTATTGCCACGTTAATGTGTGATTCATATGATATGCATAACATCTCTGCTTAATGTGACCAAACCCCTTTTCGTTGATATTTTCTATTTTCATTTGTAGTCAATAAACCCGCGATAACTTGAATCATCGTTTAAGCGTCCTGTTTTCCAATCTTTTGATATCCCTGGCCGATTTCGTACTCAAAACCTATCAGATTGTAAGACTGGGTCGAGGCAGATTGATTGGATCTGTCGCAGACTTTCACTGTTTGGTGGTGCCCAATAAATAAATACAGATCCCCCTTTTGTGGAACGGCCAGACTCTGATCTGGAGACTAGCCGCTCCACACTACACTTTTCTTACCCTACATATCTGGTGCCCCGTTTGTGAGATCCGCGCAAATATCTAGATTGATAAACTCGTACTCTGACCGGAAAACGCTAACTTAATATTGCTAACGCTCCCAGTGCTTTCCCCCCACCTCCTCACCCCACGCCTCTCCGTGCGCGACCCTGTTGCTACGTTGATTTCAAAGCCAATCGAGCTCCCCCGCGCCCCGCTAGCGATAAAGCGACCCCTGCATGCAAAAGGCTATATTATTTTAGTCTCAAATCCCGGCTTGTATCGGGTACTACGCAACTCTCAAACGAAGCGCCTCGCCAGGCCAGCGAGCGCGACGTGAGTTGACGAAGCCGCTGTCCCTCTCCAGAGCGAAGCGCACCCCTCCCGCCCCACGGGAACATACAGTACGCCCGTGCCCAAAACACAGGCGTACGAGACCATTTAAATAGAGCTTGCAGTCCAAAGTGAGGATATTAAAACGAGCCCGCAGTCCAAGTGAGAGAAGGCGGTTAAACGGAGAGCCTGCAGTCCGGTGCGAGGGAGTACGACCCCTGTATCCCGAGGAGAGGGATTAAACTGAGAGCTTGTAGTCCAGGAGTGAGGATTCAGCCATTGGCCCTCAGTCCTAAAAGAGGGATTTAAAACTGAGAGCTTGAAGTCCAAGTGAGGGATTACACCGAGAGCTGCAGTCCATGTTGAGGGATTTAAACAGGTATTTTAAACGGTCCAAGTGGGGGATTAAACTGAACCCCCCGACAGTCCAGTGAGAGAGTTTAAACGGAAAGCTACAGTCCAGTGTGTGCGGATCCAACAGACTGCAGTTTTTTTATTTATTTTTTTTTATAAATTTATTTATTATATTTATTTAATTTATTTATTTTTTATATATCAAGGTTCCAGATATAAGCAGTACCATATTTGCATTGTTCCAATATGAGCAGTCCATATAAGCCTTTCCGTATACAAAGCCTTCCTAATATATAAGCAGTTCCATATATTAGCAGTCCATATATTACAGTTCCATATATAGCAGTTCCATATATAGCAGTTCCATATATAGCAGTTCCCATATCTAGCAGTTCCAGGTACGGTATAACAACTCCAGATATGAAGCAGTTCCAGATATAAGCCGGTTCCGTGAGGATTAACCTGAAAGCTCCGCAGATCCAATGTTGAGGGATTCATTTTGGGAGCCGGCAGTCCAGGAGGGATTTAAACGGCTTGGCAGTCCAGAGAGGGATTTTAAAAGAAGCCTTCAGGCCAAAGTGAGGGATATAAAACAAGAGCACACGCAGTCCAATGTGAGGGAATAAACTGAGGTCTTGCAGTCTCAATGTGAGAATAAACGGAGCTTGCAGTCAGAGTGAAGGATTTACACGTAGCTTGTTTAAGAAGCCTGCAGAAACACGCGAGGGCCTTTAAAACTGAAGCTTGCCCAACCAATGCAACGGGGGCCAACTGAGCCTGCAGTACAAAGCGCGGGGACGAACTGACGCTGCAGTAACAATGCGAGGGAATAAACCGTCCGCATACTTACCCACAACCGCAGAGAAGAACAAGGGACTACTCAACGGAACCACGTCGTACCGGCCACGAGGTAGGCAGGGATGCGCACAAGCTCCCACCGCACCGGGCCAGACCGAGCCGTACATGCAGCAGCAGGCCGCGACGAGACGAGCAGATGCGTCGAACAGCCCAGAAAGAGACCAAAGAGAGAGACCAGAGAGAGAACAGAGGAGAGACCAGAGAGAGAGACCAGAGAGAGAGACCAGAGGGAGAGACCAGAGAGAGACCAGAGAGAGAGACCAGAGAGAGACCAGAGAGAGACCAGAGAGAGAGACTAGAGAGAGACCAGCGAGAGACCAGAGAGGAGAGACCAGAGGGAGAGACCAGAGAGAGAGACTAGAGAGAGAGAGACCAGAGAGAGACCAGAGAGAGACCAGAGAGCGACCAGAGAGAGAGACTAGAGAGAGACCAGAGAGAGACCAGAGAGAGACCAGACAGAGAGAGTGACCAGAGAGAGACCAGAGAGAGAGACCAGAGAGAGAGACCAGAGAGAGACCAGAGAGAGAGACCAGAGAGAGAGACCAGAGAGAGACCAGAGAGAGAGACCAGAGAGAGACCAGAGGGAGAGACCAGAGAGAGACCAGAGGGAGAGACCAAAGAGAGAGACCAGAGAGAGACCAGAGAAGGACTGAGAGAAAGACCAGAGAGAGACCAGAGAGAGACCAGAGAGAGACCAGAGAGAGAGACCAGAGAGACCAGAGAGAGAGACCAGAGAGAGACCAGAGAGAGACCAGAGAGAGAGACCAGAGAGACCAGAGAGAGACGAGAGAGAGACCAGAAATTAATTCCTGGTTCTCTTCCAACTTTCTCAAACTCAACAGCTCTAAAACTGAAGTCCTTCTCGTGGGCACCCCCTCCACTCTCTCCAAATCTAACAGCTTCTCTCTGTCCTCCATCCCAGAACACATCAGTCCTCCCCTCCCTCTCCATCCATAACACATCTCCTCTGTCCCCTCTCCCCTCCCCATCTCCAATCATAACACATCTGTCTCCCCTCCCCTCTCCATCCATAACACATCTGTCCTCCCCTCTCCTCTCCATCCATAACACATCTGTCCCTCCCTCACCCTCTCCATCCATAACACATCTGTCCTCCCCTCCCCTCTCCATCCATAACACATCTGTCCTCCCCTCCCCTCTCCATCCATAACACATCTGTCCCCTCCCCTCCCCTCTCCATCCATAACACATCTGTCCTCCCTCCCCCTCTCCATCCATAACACATCTGTCCTCCCCTCCCCTCTCCATCCATAACACATCTGTCCTCCCCTCCCCTCTCCATCCATAACACATCTGTCCTCCCCTCTCCATCCATAACACATCTGTCCTCCCCCAAACACATCTCCTCCCCTCCATCCATAACACATCTGTCCTCCCCTCCCCTCCCCATCCATAACACATCTGTCCTCCCCTCCCTCCCCTCCATAACACATCTGTCCTCCCCCTCCCCTCCCTCCCATCCATAACACATCTGTCCTCCCCTCCCCTCTCCATCCATAACACATCTGTCCTCCCCTCCCCCTCAGGTCAAGAGTCTGGGTGTCATCCTCGACAGTTCACTCTCCTTCCAATCTCACATCAATAATATCACTCGGGTCCGCCTACTTCCACCTGCGCAATATCTCTCGCCTCCGCCCCTCTCTCACCCCCCACACCACCCTCGTCTCCGCCCCTCTCTCACCCCCCACACCACCCTTGTCTCCGCCCCTCTCTCACCCCCCACACCACCCTCGTCTCCGCCCTCTCTCACCCCCCACACCACCCTCGTCTCCGCCCCTCTCTCACCCCCCACACCACCCTCGTCTGCGCCCCTCTCTCACCCCCCACACCACCCTCGTCTCCGCCCCTCTCCCACCCACCCTGGTCTCCGCCCTCTCTACACCCCCACCCTCGTCTCCGCCCCTCTCTCACCCCCCACACCACCCTCGTCTCCGCCCCTCTCTCTCTCACCCCCCACCCACCCTCGTCTCCGCCCCTCTCTCACCCCCCACACCACCCTCGTCTCCGCCCCTCTCTCACCCCACACCACCTCGTCTCCGCCCCTCTCTCACCCCCACACCACCCTCGTCTCCAACCCCCACACCACCCTCTCTCCACCCCCACACCCCCACACCATCCCCGTCTCCGCCCCTCTCTCACCCCCCACACCATCCTCGTCTCCACCCCTCTCTCACCCCCCACACCACCCTCGTCTCCGCCCCTCTCTCACCCCCCACACCACCCTCGTCTCCGCCCCTCTCTCACCCCCCACACCACCCTCGTCTCCGCCCCTCTCTCACCCCCCACACCACCCTCGTCTCCGCCCCTCTCTCACCCCCCACACCACCCTCGTCTCCGCCCCTCTCTCACCCCCCACACCACCGCCATCCTCGTCCACAGCCTCGTCACCTCTAGGATTGACGACTGCAACTCACTTCTCTTCGGCCTCCCCAACAAATCCCTCCAGAAACTGCAGCTCCTCAAAACTCTGCAGCTGCATCATCCCCCGGACCCCCACAGCTGACCACATCACCCCCGTACTCCGACAACTCCACTGGCTTCCTGTTAAACAACTGATTCACTTCAAAAGACTCCTCACCACTTTCAGAGCACTTCACAACCTGCTCCTCCTCCACTTATCTGACCTCCTCCACCCTGCCACTCCTGCTCCTCCTCCACCCTGCCACTCCTGCTCCTCCTCCACCCTGTCACTCCTGCTCCTCCTCCACCCTGCAACTCCTGCTCCTCCTCCACCCTGCAACTCCTGCTCCTCCTCCACCCTGCCACTCCTGCTCCTCCACACTGCCACTGCCTGCTCCTCCTCCAACTTTTGACCTGATGAAATTTCCGACCCTGTCATGTGGGGTTTCCAGGATATTTTATCATCTTATTACAACTCCTAAAAATGTATTTTGGTGAACTTTTTCCATTTCTGTATCGTCAATGACAATCTTGACAGGAATATTACATCTGCGATTGCTAAAAAGCATAATCTTGGTCTTTTTTATATTTAATGACAACTTGTTTGTATTAAACCAGGTCTTTAGTTTGTTCATTTCAACAGTTACAACGGCCAAGAGCTGCTCCAGATCATCACCTGCACATATGAGAGAGACCAGAGAGAGACCAGAGAGAAAGACCAGAGAGAGAAACCAGAAAGGGACCCGAGAGAGACCAGAGACTGGTGAAAGACGGTACCGGAAGTGACACTTTTACTGATGGACAAGAGAGGGACCAGAGAGAGACCAGAGAGAGACCAGAGGGAGATCAGAGAGAGATCAGAGAGAGACCAGAGAGACCAGAGAGAGAACAGAGAGAGGCCAAAGAGAGAGACCAGAGACCGACCGGAGAGAGACCAGAGAGAGACTCCAAATATAGAAAGTAGAAAGAGAGGGACCAGAGAGCGATCAGGAAGACTCCAGATTTAGAAACCAGAGAGAGACCATAGAGAAATCTGCCAAACCAGTTGAGTCGGTTGTGACGACTTCCTCCTTGGTCTTGTGCGTTTCAGAGCAACACGACAGAGACTTCTTCAGGAACAATAAGGATCAGTCTGTCTGTGTTAGTGACCAGAAAGTAAGTACCATGTGTCTGTGTTAGTGACCAGAAAGTAAGTACCATGTGTCTGTGTTAGTGACCAGAAAGTAAGTACCATGTGTCTGTGTTAGTGACCAGAAAGTAAGTACCATGTGTCTGTGTTAGTGACCAGAAAGTAAGTACCATGTGTCTGTGTTAGTGACCAGAAAGTAAGTACCATGTGTCTGTGTTAGTGACCAGAAAGTAAGTACCATGTGTCTGTGTTAGTGACCAGAAAGTAAGTACCATGTGTCTGTGTTAGTGACCAGAAAGTAAGTACCATGTGTGACGTGTTGATGTGTGTGTTAGTGACCAGAAAGTAAGTACCATGTGTCTGTGTTAGTGACCAGAAAGTAAGTACCATGTGTCTGTGTTAGTGACCAGAAAGTAAGTACCATGTGTCTGTGTAAGTGACCAGAAAGTAAGTACCATACCATATGTCTGTGTTAGTGTGACCAGAAAGTAAGTACCATGTGTCTGTGTTAGTGACCAGAAAGTAAGTACCATGTGTCTGTGTTAGTGACCAGAAAGTAAGTACCATGTGTGACGTGTTGATGTGTGTGTTAGTGACCAGAAAGTAAGTACCATGTGTCTGTGTTAGGAACCAGAAAGTAAGTACCATGTGTGACGTGTTGATGTGTGTGTTAGTGACCAGAACCAAGTAAGTACCATGTGTCTGTGTTAGGGACCAAAAAGTAAGTACCATGTGTCTGTGTTAGGAACCAGAAAGTAAGTACCATGTGTGACGTGTTGATGTGTGTGTTAGTGACCAGAAAGTAAGTACCATGTGTCTGTGTTAGGGACCAAAAAGTAAGTACCATGTGTCTGTGTTAGGTACCAGAAAGTAAGTACCATGTGTCTGTGTTAGGGACCAGAAAGTTAGTACCATGTGTCTGTGTTAGTGACCAGAAAGTAAGTACCATGTGTGACCATTGATGTGTGTGTTTAGTGACCAGAAAGTAAGTACCATGTGTCTGTGTTAGTGACCAGAAAGTAAGTACCATGTGTCTGTGTTAGTGACCAGAAAGTAAGTACCATGTGTCTGTGTTAGTGACCAGAAAGTAAGTACCATGTGTCTGTGTTAGTGACCAGAAAGTAAGTACCATGTGTCTGTGTTAGTGACCAGAAAGTAAGTTACCATGTGTCTGTGTTAGTGACCAGAAAGTAAGTACCATGTGTCTGTGTTAGTGACCAGAAAGTAAGTACCATGTGTCTGTGTTAGTGACCAGAAAGTAAGTACCATGTGTCTGTGTTAGTGACCAGAAAGTAATTACCATGTGTCTGTGACCAGAAAGTAAGTACCTTGTGTGACGTGTTGATGTGTAAGCGTTAGTACCAGAAAGTATGTACCATGTGTCTGTGTTAGGGACCAGAAAGTAAGTACCATGTGTGACGTGTTGATGTGTCTGTGTTAGTGACCAGAAAGTATGTACCATGTGGGAGCGGCGCTCATTGGTGCGTCACAGACAGAGCTGCACCTTTAAAGCTCGTGCACATGCCAGACATTCTTGTTGCTCATCCTGCTCCCATCCTGCCACCTGCCCCGCCTCCTTAGGTTTGGTTTGCTCTGGTTTGGTTTGGTTAGCTTTGGTTTGGTTTAGTTTGTGGTATATTTTCTACACACCATTCACCACTGCAGACTCTCACAGCACATACACCGCACACACTCACTACACACTTCAAACCTCATTAAAACATTCACTTTGGTTATTCATAAATATTATTTCAATTGAAACTGTTGTTTAGAGAGTTTCTGTCATTTCTACGGAGCCGGGTTATGGCAGAATGGGGCTCGTCCGGGACACAGGGGACTTCATACTGAGCCGTGGCATGGGCGTGGCCGTGTTGTCCATTCCGTTACACAGGATGAGTTTGGAGTGTGAGCTGGTGCGGGGAGAGGTCACTGTCGGTGTGCGACCAGCGCTGCCCATCGAGAGGATTCATTTCATTTTGGAGAATGGGTCGGCTGGTGGTGGTGTCTGGGCTGACACAGACTCTGGTGGTGGTGTCTGGGCTGACACAGACTCTGGTGGTGGTGTCTGGGCTGACACAGACTCTGGTGGTGGTGTCTGGGCTGACACAGACTCTGGTGGTGGTGTCTGGGCTGACACAGACTCTGGTGGTGGTGTCTGGGCTGACACAGACTCTGGTGGTGGTGTCTGGGCTGACACAGACTCTGGTGGTGGTGTCTGGGCTGACACAGACTCTGGTGGTGGGTGTCTGGGCTGACACAGACTCTGGTGGTGGTGTCTGGGCTGACACAGACTCTGGTGGTGGTGTCTGGGTTGACACAGACTCTGGTGGTGGTGTCTGGGCTGACACAGACTCTGGTGGTGGTGTCTGGGCTGACACAGACTCTGGTGGTGGTGTCTGGGCTGACACAGACTCTGGTGGTGGTGTCTGGGCTGACACAGACTCTGGTGGTGGTGTCTGGGCTGACACAGACTCTGGTGGTGGTGTCTGGGCTGACACAGACTCTGGTGGTGGTGTCTGGGCTGACACAGACTCTGGTGGTGGTGTCTGGGCTGACACAGACTCTGGTGGTGGTGTCTGGGCTGACACAGACTCTGGTGGTGGTGTCTGGGCTGACACAGACTCTGGTGGTGGTGTCTGGGCTGACACAGACTCTGGTGGTGGGGAGACTGTGGATCCTGAGGCTGTGGAGGTGCTGCACCTGTTGTTACTTTATGTCCCACTGTCCCTGAGAGCGTTACGTCATCGCAGCCAGACGTGTTCCCTGCGTGCGCGGTGACGCAGGCCATGCATGAAGCGGATTCTGCAGATGATGCAGAGTCAGTGATTTTGTGTTGTCCACGGCAGAATATCCATTAAATGTATCCCACGCTGAGTTGGTTCGGTCGCAGCAAGAAGGTCTGACTTTGGAAAGTTCATTTGATTTGGCTGTCTCCGAGGCACAAAACTCTGCTCCCACTAATGTCTACTGTCGCTGTGTCCTTGGGCAAGACACTTAACCCCACATTGCCTGAAGCTCCCGCTGAAACACCGAGGCTGTGGCACTGATGTAGCAGCCATCTTCCTGTGGACCCACCTCCTGCAGAGGATCAGAGGGACTGGTGCTATGAGCATTGGGGGCGGTTCTCATTACCACCCCCCGACCCAGAGATGGACTAATAAAGGGGTAGAATATGAATGAATGAATGACGAGGCACAGATAGAGAGTTTGGCAAATGGATATTCTGTTCAGAAGGATGTGCTGTTCAGAAAGTACATGTTTGTGGGGACCGTGTGCACGATGCCATGTTCCAAGTTGTAGTTCCAGCAAAGTTTTGTTCTTGAGGTGGCGCACAATAATTCTGGTCACTTTGGCGTTCGTAAAACATATCTGAGTCTTCTCAAGCATTTCTTTGGCCGCGGGTGAATAGAGATGTGTCGGCGTTTGTTAAGACTTGTCACACATGTTGACAGGAAAAAGGGCACTAGCCCCAGCACCACTGCAGCCTATTCCAGCTGTAAGTGAGCCATTTGAATATTTATGAACAGATTGTGTGGGTCCGTTGCCGTGTGCTAGATCTGGGTGTAAATATCTCCTCCGTAGAAATGACAGAAACTCTCTAAACAACAGTTTCAATTGAAATAATATTTATGAATAACCAAAGTGAATGTTTTAATGAGGTTTGAAGTGTGTAGTGAGTGTGTGCGGTGTATGTGCTGTGAGAGTCTGCAGTGGTGAATGGTGTGTAGAAAATATACCACAAACTAAACCAAACCAAAGCTAACCAAACCAAACCAGAGCAAACCAAACCTAAGGAGGCGGGGCAGGTGGCAGGATGGGAGCAGGATGAGCAACAAGAATGTCTGGCATGTGCACGAGCTTTAAAGGTGCAGCTCTGTCTGTGACGCACCAATGAGCGCCGCTCCCACCGGAGAGGAAGGCTCTACGGCCTGTTAGCGACCGTAAGACCAGTCTCTGACTCTGGTCCCAGTCTCTGGCTCTGCTCCCAGTCTCTGACTCTGGTCCAGTCTCTGGCTCTGGTCCCAGTCTCTGACTCTGGTCCCAGTCTCTGACTCTGGTCCCAGTCTCTGGCTCTGGTCCCAGTCTCTGGCTCTGGTCCCAGTCTCTGGCTCTGGCCCCAGTCTCTGACTCTGGTCCCAGTCTCTGGCTCTGGTCCCAGCCTCTGGCTCTGGTCCCAGTCTCTGACTCTGGTCCCAGTCTCTGGCTCTGGTCTCAGTCTCTGACTCCCAAAGAGAGACCAGAAAGACCGGAGAAAATGCGGCCGCATGATTTCAGACCTCTGAAGCTAATCAAGAGAGGGCCTGGTTAGTACTGTGATGGGAGACCTCTGGGAACAGCAGGTACCATAGTGGGGCGGCTGCGGCTGTAAAGTGCCAAACTGTGGTTGTGTCCTTAGGCAAGACACTTCCCCCACATTAGAATGAGTCTGGTGTGTGTGTGAATGGTTGGTGGTGGTGGGAGGGGCTGATGGCACAGACTGGTTGCCTCGCTTCTGTCAGTGTGCCCCAGGGCAGCTGTGGCTACAGTAGTTCATTACCACCGTGTTTGGAGAGAAAGAATTATGACATGTGTTCTGAAAAGTGCTGTATAAACCAATGTATTATTATTATTAAAATCCAGAGAGAAACCAGAGAGAGACCAGAGAGAGACCAGAGAGAGAGACCAGAGAGAGACCAGAGAGAGACCAGAGAGAGACCAGAGAGAGACCAGAGAGAGACCAGAGAGAGACCAGAGAGAGACCAGAGAGAGACCAGAGAGAGAGACCAGAGAGAGAGACCAGAGAGAGACCAGAGAGAGACCAGAGAGAGAGACCAGAGAGAGACCAGAGAGACACCAGAAAGAGACCAGAGAGAGAGACCAGAGAGAGACCAGAGAGAGATCAGAGAGAGAGACCAGAGAAAGACCAGAGAGAGACCAGAGGGAGAGACCAGAGAGAGACCAGAGAGACACCGGAAAGAGACCAGAGAGAGAGACCAGAGAGAGACCAGAGAGAGACGAGAGAGAGACCAGAGAGAGACCAGAGTGAGACCAGAGAGAGACCACAGTGAGACCAGAGAGAGACCAGAGAGAGAGACCAGAGAGAGACCACAGTGAGACCAGAGAGAGACCGGAGAGAGACCGGAGAGAGACCAGAGAGAGAGACCAGAGAGAGACCACAGTGAGACCAGAGAGAGACCAGAGACAGAGACCAATGAATGACCAGAGAGAGAAGAGAAAGAGAGAGACCAGAAAGAGATCAGAGAGAGAGACCAGGAAGACTCCAGATTTAGAAACCAGAGAGAGACTATAGAGAAATCTGCCAAACCAGTTGAGTCGGTTGTGACGACTTCCTCCTTGGTCTTGTGTGTTTCAGAGCAACACGACAGAGACTTCTTCAGGAACAATAAGGATCAGTCTGTCTGTGTTAGTGACCAGAAAGTAAGTACCATGTGTCTCTGTTAGTGACCAGAAAGTAAGTACCATGTGTCTGTGTTAGTGACCAGAAAGTAAGTACCATGTGTCTGTGTTAGTGACCAGAAAGTAAGTACCATGTGTCTGTGTTAGTGACCAGAAATTAAGTACCATGTGTCCGTGGTAGTGACCAGAAAGTAAGTACCATGTGTCTTTGTTAGTGACCAGAAAGTAAGTACCATGTGTCTAGTGACCAGAAAGTAAGTACCATGTGTCTGTGTTAGTGACCAGAAAGTAAGTACCATGTGTCTGTGTGAGTGACCAGAAAGTAAGTACCATGTGTCTGTGTGAGTGACCAGAAAGTAAGTACCATGTGTCTGTGTTAGTGACCAGAAAGTAAGTACCATGTGTCTGTGTTAGTGACCAGAAAGTAAGTACCATGTGTCTGTGTTAGTGACCAGAAAGTAAGTACCATGTGTGACGTGTTAATGTGTGACGTATGTATACAACAGTTACTATAGGAACAGTGGGCGGAGTCAAACACTGTTTTATTGTGTAGGAGTCTGGACTGACCACCAGCAGGGCGGCGACAGAGAGACTGAGCATGGACCAGAGAGAGCACTGTCCTCCCACCACCAGCAGGGCGGCGTCACTGAGCTCCATTGATCGATATGTTGACTTTAAAAAGGAGGAAGATCATGGGTAAGTCTGACTGTGATTCATGTGTGTCTGAGGCTAAGCAGGTCAGGGCCTGGGCGGTCATCTCCTGTTGTTCCTCTGTATCGTTGAACTGATTTTTTAGTTTTCAGATCCACAGCTCATTTTGATTTGAGGAATATTTCTGCTGTTAATTACCATGTGTGACGTGTTGATGTGTCTGTGTTAGTGACCAGAAAGGAAGTACCATGTGTGACGTGTTGATGTGTCTGTGTTAGTGACCAGAAAGTAAGTACCATGTGTGACGTGTTGATGTGTCTGTGTTAGTGACCAGAAAGTAAGTACCATGTGTGACGTGTTGATGTGTCTGTGTTAGTGACCAGAAAGTAAGTACCATGTGTGACGTGTTGATGTGTCTGTGTGAGTGACCAGAAAGTAAGTACCATGTGTGACGTGTTGATGTGTCTGTGTTAGTGACCAGAAAGTAAGTACCATGTGTGACGTGTTGATGTGTCTGTGTTAGTGACCAGAAAGTAAGTACCATGTGTGACGTGTTGATGTGTCTGTGTGAGTGACCAGAAAGGAAGTACCATGTGTGACGTGTTGATGTGTCTGTGTGAGTGACCAGAAAGGAAGTACCATGTGTGACGTGTTGATGTGTCTGTGTGAGTGACCAGAAAGGAAGTACCATGTGTGACGTGTTGATGTGTCTGTGCTAGTGACCAGAAAGTAAGTACCATGTGTGACGTGTTGATGTGTCTCTGTGAGTGACCAGAAAGTAAGTACCATGTGTGACGTGTTGTTGTGTCTGTGTTAGTGACCAGGAAGTAAGTACCATGTGTGACGTGTTGATGTGTCTGTGTTAGTGACCAGACAGTAAGTACCATGTGTGACGTGTTGATGTGTCTGTGTTAGTGACCAGACAGTAAGTACCATGTGTGACGTGTTGATGTGTCTGTGTGAGTGACCAGAAAGTAAGTACCATGTGTGACGTGTTGATGTGTCTGTGTGAGTGACCAGAAAGTATATGTACCATGTGTGACGTGTTGATGTGTCTGTGTGAGTGACCAGAAAGTAAGTACCATGTGTGACGTGTTAATGTGTCTGTGTTAGTGACCAGAAAGTATACGTACCATGTGTGACGTGTTGATGTGTCTGTGCTAGTGACCAGAAAGTAAGTACCATGTGTCTGTGTTAGTGATTGTTTATGAACAACTATAAACAACAACGTCACTCAAAGATCCTCCTGTAGATGGAAATGCAGAAGTTAAATGTCTGGGCTCCACCAGGACTAAACCAGGACTAAACCAGGACTAAATCAAGACTAAACCAAGACTAAACCAGGACTAAACCAAGACTAAACCAGGACTAAACCAGGACTAAACCAGGGACTAAACCAAGACTAAACCAAGACTAAACCAGGACTAAACCAGGACTAAACCAGGACTAAACCAAGACTAAACCAGGACTAAACCAGGACTAAACCAGGACTAAACCAGGGACTAAACCAGGGACTAAACCAGGGACTAAACCAGGACTAAACCAGGACTAAACCAGTTCTAAACCAGGACTAAACCAGGGACTAAACCAGGGACTAAACCAGGACTAAACCAGGGACTAAACCAGGACTAAACCAGGACTAAACCAGGACTAAACTAGAACTAAACCAGGACTAAACCAGGACTAAACCATGATAAAGAGGAGCTGGTCCTTGGTAAGTCCCACTCCTTGTATCAGCAGCTCACAGACACAGTGTCCTGAAGACATGGACAGAGCTCATACCAGGTGTAGATACCAGGTGTAGATACCAGGTGTAGATGATATCTGTGTGTTTGTGGACGTGACGCAGCCTGTGGTGAAGGCCTCTCCAACACTGAAGCTCTCTTCTTCTGTGTCTCAGGATCCTCCACAAACTTCAGTCTGGACCTGGTCCCAGATGTGAGTCCCTCAGGAGTGACCGGTCTAAGGATGTACTATGGAACTTCAGGAGTGACCGGTCTATGGGAGAACCATGGGACTTCAGGAGTGACCGGTCTATGGAAGAACCATGGGACTTCAGGAGTGACCGGTCTATGGAAGAACCATGGGACTTCAGGAGTGACCGGTCTATGGGAGAACCATGGGACTTAAGGACAGAGTGAGTCTCATGGACATAAGTGTCTCAGTCTCATGGACATACAGTGGGGCAAAAAAGTATTTAGTCAGCCACCGATTGTGCAAGTTCTCCCACTAAAAATAATGACAAATGTCTAACGATTACTATAGGTCTTTACCAGGTTTGCACACACAGTAGCTGGTATTTTGGCCCATTCCTCCATGCAGATCTTCTCGAGAGCAGTGAACACAGATTTTCAATGGGGTTGAGGTCTGGAGACTGGCTAGGCCACTCCAGGACTTTCAAATGCTTCTTACGGAGCCACTCCTTCGTTGCCCGGGCGGTGTGTTTGGGATCATTGTCATGCTGGAAGACCCAGCCACGTTTCATCTTCAAAGCTCTTACTGATGGAAGGAGGTTTTGGCTCAAAATCTCACGATACATGGCCCCCTTCATTCTTTCCTTAACACAGATCAGTCGTCCTGTCCCCTTAGCATAAAAACAGCCCCAAAGCATGACGTTTCCACCCCCATGCTTCACAGTAGGTATGGTGTTCTTGGGATGCAACTCAGTATTCTTCTTCATTCAATCACGACGAGTTGAGTTTATACCAAACAGTTGTACTTTGGTTTCATCTGACCACATGACATTCTCCCAATCCTCTGCTGTATCATCCATGTGCTCTCTGGCAAACTTCAGACGGGCCTGGGCCTGCACTGACTTTAGCAGGGGGACACGTCTGGCACTGCAGGATTTGATTCCCTGTCGTCGTAGTGTGTTACTGATGGTAACCTTTGTTACTTTGGTCCCAGCTCTCTGCAGGTCATTCACCAGGTCCCCCCGTGTGATTCTGGGATTTTTGATCACCGTTCTCATGATCATTTTGACCCCACAGGATGAGATCTTGTGTGGAGCCCCAGATCGAGGGAGATTATCAGTGGTCTTGTAGGTCTTCCATTTTCTGATAATTGCTCCCACAGTTGATTTATTCACACCAAGCTGCTTGCCTATTGTAGATTCACTCTTCCCAGTCTGGTGCAGGTCTACAATTCTTTTCCTGGTGTCCTTCGACAGCTCTTTGGTCTTGGCCATAGTGGAGTTTGGAGTCTGACTGCTTGAGGCTGTGGACAGGTGTCTTTTATACAGATGAGTTCAAACAGGTGCCATTAATACAGGTAACGAGTGGAGGACAGAAGAGCTTCTTAAAAAAAGAAGTTACAGGTCTGTGAGAGCCAGAGATCTTCCTTGTTTGAAGTGACCAAAAAATTATTTTCCACCATAATTTGCAAATAAATTCTTTAAAAATTCTACAATCAATCAATCAATCAATCAAATTTTATTTATAAAGCGCTTTTCATACAAAAGATGCAACACAAAGTGCTTTACAAAGCAAAGGAAGGTTTCTCACCCATCATCTGTACTTCTTAGCAAGTTTTCCCGACGTTTCGTCCTCAACCTGGGGACTTCTTCAGGGAATGAATTCTCGGACCGCGCGTTGGAGATTTATAACCTATGGGTGTGGTTAGCCACACCCTAATCCTGATACTAACTCGTAAACAATCTCAGGTCTGCTTGATGTAGAAGGGAGCAGGTCTAACGACCCTGCTGAGGCTAACGACCCTAACTCATTAGCATGTCACAGACCTATTGTCTGCTGGGATGCTCAAGTGGAGTGCAGGTCTCACCCCTCCTAACTCATTAGCATGTCACTGACCTTGTCCCAAGTTAGGGCGTTGTTTTTAGGATGTCGTCATAGATGCGAGGCAAAACAAATCTTAACCCTCCTCCTCTGTTAAGAGAAGGTTTTTGTTTCCTCACAAAAATGGCTTCTTCCAAACCAATTCTTCTCCGAGCCAGAATTTTAACCTCTGTGTCATCCACCGTGTGGTTGGAGGCCTTGAGGTGGAGATGAACAGCCGACTGTGGCCCACTAGAGTTTTCTCTACGATGTTGGTAAAGTCGTTTCTGTAGAGTTTGTTTGGTTTCTCCAATATAGTGGTCAGTGCACTCCTCTTTCACTACATTTAATTGAATACACCACATTGCTCTGTTTGTGTCTGGGTGTTTTGTCTTTGGGATGCACTAATTTCTGTCTTAACGTGTTGAAAGGTTTGAAATACACAGGGATTTTGTGTTGCCTAAAGATTCTTTGTAGTTTCTCTGAAACTCCCGCCACATACGGTAAGGACACCCCTCTCCTCCTACTTTCTTCTGTCTGTTGGACGGTGTCTCTGGCCTTTCTCGTCCTTTGGGCTTTAGTAAAAGACCACTTGGGGTAGCCACATCTGGAAAGTGCTCTCTGAACATGTTTGGTTTCTCTGTTCTTTCCCTCCGAGCTAGTGGGGACCTGGTGGGCTCGGTGTTGAAGCGTTCTAATGACCCCGAGTTTGTGTTGTAGCGGATGATTTGAATCAAAGGCCAAGTACTGGTCAGTGTGAGTGGACTTTCTGAAGACCTCAGTCTCTAATTGTCCGTTCTCCAGTATGATGACCTTACAATCTAGAAAGGCGAGTTCACTCTCCTTAGCATCCTCGCGAGTGAAATTTATAAAAGGGTCCACCGAGTTAATGTGTGCTGAAAATGGTTCCACTTCCTGTTTCTTTAACTTAACCCATGTATCGTCTACATATCGAAACCAATGGCTTGGCGCTGTCCCTTGGTAAGAGCCCAGGGCTTGTTCCTCCAGTTTCTCCATATACAGATTGGCCACTATAGGAGAGACTGGGGAGCCCATCGCACAGCCATGAATCTGTCTAAAGAAGGTGCCTCTAAATTGGAAATAAGTGGTGTTAAGACACATTTCAAGTATTTCACAGATGTGGTCAGCTGTTAGTTTCGTTCTCTCCCCTAGTGTGGCGTCTTTCTGTAGGCTTTCTCTTACAGCCTCCACCGCCTCTGTAATAGGGACCGACGTAAACAGCGATGTCACATCAAACGAGACCATTGTCTCATCTGTGTCAAACTGGAGGTGTTTGATTTTATTTACAAATTCTTTTGTGTTTTCTATGTGATGGTGGGTGTTACCCACCAAAGGAGCCAGAATGGTTTTGAGGTGTTTAGCCAGGTTGTAGGTGATAGAGTCTATGCTACATACAATAGGCCGAAGTGGAAAGTTTTGTTTGTGTATTTTTGGGAGGCCATAAATACTGGGGATGGTGTCTCCTGGGTAAAGTTTGTAATATAGTGGTTTTTCAATAATGCCCTCTTTCATTAAGTTCTGAAGGAAGTCTATAATCTTTTTCCTAAACCCACTGGTAGGGTCCCTCTTCAATGGCTGGTACGTGTTGGTGTCCAAGAGTAACTGATTAACTTTGGCCTCATAGTCTGAGCTGTTGAGGATAACTGTGCATCTGCCTTTGTCAGCTGGTAAAATAGTTATATTCTCATCCTTTTGTAATGCCAATAATGCTTTTTGCTCATCTAATGAGACATTGGATTGTGGGGGCTTCGCACTTTTGAGTGTGGCAGAGACTCTCAGTCTGAGGGCCCCTGCCTCACTCTCAGTTAGTTTGTTGTTTCTAATGGCTGCTTCTGCTGCTGTGATGTATTCAATTGTAGGAATATCTTTTGGGGTTATTGCAAAATTTAGGCCTTTAGTAAGAACATCTTTTTCCGCTTGTGATAAATGCCGATCAGACAGATTTTTGACCCAATTCTCCCTGTCCAAGCCTTGTCCAATTTCACTTTTAGAATGTTGAAAAGAATTATGGTTTTGGAGTTTTAGAAATTTGCCTATCTGACGTTCCTTGGCCTTCTTGTGATGGTTCAGTTGGGCAGTTTCCGTAAACGTCCAAATCCTCTGAAAAAACTCTGGTGAGACTGCCAATTCCAGTTTGTGCTTAAGGCCCTCTATCTCGTCCTTTAGGTTTATAACGTCGGGAAAACTTGCTAAGAAGTACAGATGATGGGTGAGAAACCTTCCTTTGCTTTGACTAATCCCTGTACGACTGAGGGCTTACACAAACTTAAAGTGCTTTACAGTTTGGTTAAAAACAATCCCGCCGACCCAAGACCCCTCCCCCAGACCACCCAACAGACCCACCCCAAACCACAGACAAACACACACACGCGCTCATGAACACTCATACACACACACACACACACACACACACACCAGTAAAACAATAAAACCATGATGAGAGACTTGGCAGGGTTCAGATGCAACCAGCTGAAAAAGCGTCATCCAAGGAGCCGTCTGCACCAGGAGCAGAGAGCCGCCCGTAGCCACAGGGGAGGACACAGGACCCAGAGGAGACATGAAACCGAGGCCCCAGGCCCCCACCAGGTCCAAGAGTCTGACCCCCGCAGCCACACCGACCACTGCTCCCAGTGCAGAGGGCTCCTCCAGAGGAAACACTGGGTACACTAAAAACAATACAATAAGTAAAACACTAAAATGTGAGACTAAAAGGAACACACAATACATGAATAATAGCAATAGCAATATAATAAATAATAATAAAAGATAAATAGAATGGAATAATAAAAACTAATCAAAAGCTAATCTAAAAAAGTGTGTCTTGAGCCTACTTTTAAAAATATGAACGTTCTCTGCGGCCCTGAGCTCCTCCTCAGACTGTTTCAGAGACGGGGGCCGTAGTGCTGGAAAGATGCCTCGCCGTGAGTGTGTGTCCTGACTTTGGGGATGGTTAGGAGTCTGCTGCTGGAGGAGCGCAGGGGCCGGGAAGGTTCATAGGATAAAAGCAGTTCTGAAAGATAAGAAGGCCCAAGACCATTAAGACATTTAAAAACCAATAAAGAACCTTAAAATCGATCCTGAAACACACGGGGAGCCAATGCAGCGATTTTAAAACCGGTGTAATGTGGTCCCGCCCCCTGGTCTTAGTCAGGACACGCCCCCTGGTCTTAGTCAGGACACGTGCGGCCGAGTTTTGGAGTAATTGAAGACTTGCAATATTCTTTTTGGGAAGACCATAGAGCAGGGCATTACAGTAGTCAATGAGACTGGTGATAAAAGCATCAGGGTCTCCGTGTTGGCCCGAGAGAGAATGGGGCGGACTCTGGTGATGTTCTTTAAATGATAAA